TACCGTGATCTCCTGGGTATCGTGCCCCTGGGCTCGGATGATGCCGATGATGTTGACGGTGATAGCGACAGTCATTTCCTAGAGGTCGCCGTTGTCGAAAGACCCATGTGGGATGTCGATTTGCCGGGTCGTTATGTCCGGGACTACGCTTAGGCGAGTCGTCATCTTTCATTCCATTCCATTTATTTTTCTTTTATTCTATTACAATGTCCATTTTCTTCAATTTATATTAGATATTCTTCCTTGTCTTGGCGAGCATGATAGGTCTTTTTTTTTTACAAATCAGAATTAGATTAAAAGTTGTTATTCTTGATATTACTTTCAAAGTAGCATGTAAATCTGCTTGGTAATTGTCCATCATGGACAGATATATTAGACCTCATACTCTACCACCTAACCTAGTATCTAGATATATAAGTAACTCTGATTCCACATACGTACGTCCCTCTAAGGGATCTATCACAATATTTGACAAACAATCAATTAATTAGTCAGTTGATCGAATATCCCGCATACTGGTTACCTAAAACTGTCTGACGATACCAGTTCCATTTCAAGCGTTGCTCACACATACATTTGTAAGATAGATGATACAAATAGATATCCACTCATGTTATGTATGGGGTTTGTAAACTATATAAAGGGTTGTTTGACACAGCTTGGTGAGGTTACTTTGTGTTATTACGGGAGAATCGAGATAATTTTCTTGAGACGGGGCATGGATATGATAGATCGGGTGTGGCATGTTTTCGTTTTGGGTGTATTTCTTACTTCAACAGAGATGATTGTATTATACTAAAAGTTGAGAGCTCGATTGCATTAGGTGAGATGACTGTCAGTTGGGCCCTTTTCTCTTTCCTCCTTCGAATTTGTAGATGAGAGGGGTGGAAAAGCTCGAAATCAGGAGAATAGTAAAGGATCAAGACAACGCCATGCATGTTTCCTGTGAATATCTACCACAACTATCGTGAAAATCGAACCATGTTCCATGTAGCATAGCATGAGCGTAAAGAAAACCGAAGCAACCCAGAACCTGCTGATCTGCGTTCAGGAGACAGCATACATATCGTGACGCATCAAAATCTTGTCTTGTCTCAATGCCCGAAGGCGACGAGAGACTCCATAGAAAGTACAGAAAGTAAACATGTAACGAAAACGCCAATGAAAGAAGACAAGTACATTGCAAACTCCCGTGACTTTCCCTCTTTAGCTTGTGGTCGTGATTTTCAAGTCAGACTTCTTTCTTCATGCAATAAATATGCGGCCGCCATGTGAGACTCCTTAACCGTAAGCCAGTTTATAAACTGTCTATTGGGCGATCCGATATGGGTTTGTCTTATGGCAGGCCTATCATGATGTTGGTCGATTCCAGGTGGCGAGAGATATAACGGATCTGGCACATCCCGTGTCTACTGCATCTGCAGAGTATATAGTCGTGCGAATCAGCTTCGCGGCGCGGTGAAGTGAGTTTTGGAAGCTGGCACCCGAGAGATGCGTATATCGACGGGCAACGGATAAGTGTAGCGCAGCATCCGTTTGCTGCTGACGGTATGCTAGCCCCACCAGTTTATTATAGGTCGCACTATCGAGTGGACGGGATGTTGGACGCTGACCAGCCATGGCAGGCTCAGGTCCAGGTCCTTGGTGGTGACATATGGGCGGACAGCGATTGCTTGGCATGTAATTACCAAGACCTCTAGTAGCTTTGCGCAGAGACAGGTGCAGGCTGCATTCATTAGCATCGAGCAAGCAAAGATTAATGCCAAGTTGAAGAATAAGATCGTCATCCCAAGTACAAGCGTCTGGGCAGCGTTACACAAGGGAGTTGCGCTGTGACCTGGCAAGAGAAGATGGCTAAGCAAGGGACAACTTACAGGACTGCTGAGCATGCTGTTCCGCTTGTTCCGGCCCTTCTTAATATGGTTCTTTAGTGCGGTGGAATCCAGCGGTTTGAGCAGCTCAAAACTACACAACAGTTCACCTGAAACCGACATAATGGCACCCCAGTTGTCGAATTCACCACAATACTATTATGAGTAGTGGTTAGCAAGATAAATTATCGGGCTGCAGATACGTCAGAACGGTGTCTGGAAGCACTTACATTAGGTGCAGAAAAGACGGTAACGAGAATTCGATCCTGGTAGAACTCATAGCCGTCCTCGACGACCATGTGCGCTCTGCAGACCAAGTCGAAATCATGACGTTGCAAGAAGTCCATGATGACCTTCTTACCAAAACAATAACTCACTCCGCGCTCGTTCGGCTCCCAGTCCTCTTCCATATCCGCAGGGTCGCTCCACAAAAGATCATTCAGCAAACCGTAGTCCGGCACATCGGTCGGACGTGCGATTCCCCGAATGTCATCCATATGGGAGAGGCTAGGAGACAAACCACCATGGACACAGAAGATCTTGCCAGCGACGATCGCAGCGATGGGGAGGCAGTTGAAAGTATCAACAAAAGTCTTCCAGATCTTGATGTTGCAACGCCGTTTACATTCATCATAGAACCCATAAACGCGGGTTACGTTGGCACACTCGTGGTTGCCACGTAGAAGGAAGAAATTCTCCGGGTATTTCAGCTTATAGCAAAGCAGGAGAAGAATCGTTTCCAGACTCTGCTTTCCCCGATCCACATAATCACCCAAAAACAGATAGTTTGAAGCAGGAGGGAACCCGCACATCTCAAAGAGCCTGATAAGATCCGTATATTGACCATGAACATCTCCGACGATCTTGACAGGGGCAGACAGCTCCAACAGAGCTGGCTGAGAGAGGAACAACTCCCGTGCCGCGGTACAGATCGCCGTGATTTCTGCGTTCTTCAAGCAAACCGTCTTGGTGACCTTTGTCGAGTAACCGGCGTCGAGAAGCCGCGAAATCATGTCATCCAAGTCAATAGACTTCAGAGCGCCCATTCCCATACCTGGCGAGCTAGCTGCCTCGAGCGGAGTGTTCATTATATAGTCCAGAATGGGATTAAGTTGATTGTCCTTTTTGATGAGGATAGATTCACCCACGGCCTGCGAGGATGGGCCCACGGGAGCAACACCAGTGGGAGGAGCGTCCGACACAAGGTCAACCTCGCCGCTTTGTTGCATAGCACTCACATCTTGATGTCCTCGCTTCAAACTGCTCGACAAGGAAGGGGATGGGGGAGGCTCGGGGGCATCGGGGTTCGCAGCCGGATCCTCGGCGGTAGGAGACTGTGTACTCAGGTTGGTAGAGCTGCGTCGACTCGCTGCCGACTTGATCGAGCCAGCATCCGACCTGTCGGTCTGGCTCTCCGTTTGTGACAGAGCGGACGTCGATGCGCGGGGACTGTCACTGCTACGGATTTTCGAGCGGATCGAGCCCCGAAGAGAACGGAGCGATTCTTTGGTATCCGACCGAGAGAAAGATGGATACGACTGCAAAGAGTCGCCCGGGCTGGAGTTGCCCTTGGAATGCGACTGACCCATTACTGCAGGGTGAAATATCTGCCAAGCTCGATCTCGGACGTCTATACAAGCGATATACGTTCAAAGTGTGAACACCAAGCCCTGCGGTGCGTCGGAATGCTAAGAGTCGTCTTGGCTGCTGCCTAGTCCCGAGAGGTTTCGTCCAGATATAAAGGAGACAGATCTTCCACAACGGTATGGGCAGGAAAAAGACCAGTCCTCGATCGCGAAAGTTGGCGGTGACGGAGATGCAACGAAGCAATAAACGGGGGGCCAGTTACGACGAATATCAGTACAACAAGGGAACCAGTCCCGGGGAGGCGTTGCAAAGATTAAGAAGCGATTCGACAGATCGGTGATGTCGAAAAGTTATCGGAAGGAATGGATGGACATTGAGCGGAGGGATGAGAGAGCTTCACTATGGAAAGCCGCCGACAGCTAGTAGGGTGCTCGGAAGGGGAAGCTCCGATTTGCCGAAAAGAGCTCCTAGGGACGTGCGGATTAGACGAGGCTTGAGCAGGCAGCGACAGACGGAACACAAGATCACAAATACAGAAGGAGAAAATGATAAGAAAAGAAAAAAGAAAAAAAAAATATTGGAGTTAAGTTGAGGGTGGCATGTGTAGGGGAGATCTGTGAAAGCTAGAAGCTCTGGACGGAGAATTTGGGTAGATTCGGGGCTGTGGGAGGGGGAATAATAATAGAGTGTGGAATGGATGCGTCATTATGGGGTGGGAAAGAATGGAGATGAAACCAGACCGGACAGGAAGGGAAACTCACCCTCACCAGACTACTGGGAAGATTGAAGCACTAAAAGCTGACGAGAGACTGCGTAATGGAGGGAGAGGGGTTTGACAAAGTTGGAGAATATTTGGAAAAGTCTAGTTGATCAAGGAAAAAAGAAAGGAAAAAAGGGGAGAGTAGGAAAGGTTGTAGTAAGTAAGTTGTAGCTTTGTTGGATGTCGCCTCAATAATCCCCCAGGCTGTCGTTTTTGGTCTCGATCCTGCAGCCAAAGCGGGTGTGGCATTTCCCGGAGGATCTGTCGGCCCGGCTGAAGCTTGGGCGGCTTGGGAGGCCTGAGGATGAAATAGAGCTGCCTAGAATCTCTTGGGTCACTGAAAAGAGATAAAGAGATAGTTAGATCAATAGATATAGAGATAGATCGAGATTCGAATTTAAAGTGACCACTCCCTACTAGAAGTCTATTTAGTTTCTTCTACTACCCAACTTGCCCTGTCTGTGCCCCGTTCTTCTTTAATTTATATCACCACGGACTATAGGAAGAATGAGTAGTTGTGTCGACGAACAGAAAGGCTTACACGCCCCCTCCCCTCCTCCAACCGATGACCGAGCCACATTTCAGCCCCTCGTGACTACTATACATACAGTAAAAAGTTGACACCACGCTGCAGCACAGACACGTTCTCGTCTCTCCATCACACCCGTCTCTTTTCTTGGCTTCGTTCTCTTCAGGGCATTATAGGTTCCTCGCGCCTGCAACCATGCATACAAATTTCAATCCAGCCTGGAAAACCGGACGCACCACTTAACTTCGGATGATCACCGAACTGTCAGCCTCTCAGATGCTCCGAGCACTCCCGACAATTCCATGAGGGAATTCGTCGGCCTGCTCCATCATTGGTCGGACCGGAACGCATGTAGTCATAGACTTCTGCTAGTTTAGATGAACTGCCGTCCCGCTGGTGTCGAGTCTACGACCCCTCCAACGCAGGGCCGACGACGCATCATGAGGCGTAGAATAATGTGCTATGCAAGATACCTCTTAGTCACAACGATGGCAGGACGCAACTTCAGTCAGCAGCAGGTCCAAACTCTACCCCACTGCAGGAACACCGCCATTTCCATCTCCAACCCCAGCTCAGCCTCGTCATGATCATGGCTTCTGCTGCCAAGCCCCCTCTACTGCGCCAAGCACCAACGACTTATGTCCGATCTTTCCTCCTAGCCACGTTGTGGTGGGCATGTTTTGGGTAATGTGCCTTGGCCTGCGTTGCAGTCTAGCTGATGCGGGTAAAGGTTTCCAACCATGGCATGTGTGACACTGAAAGGGATTACTGCGCAGGTGAATATGCAGAGTCCGCCTTTTTGACTCGGCGCTAATAGGTGCATTTGTCCAGTCGATTTCAGTACCTCCCCGATGACCATCATTGGTCACCCTATGACCGCCCGCACCCAATCCTAAATATGAGAAAGCTGGGGCCGAGCGGTGTAACAGCTTTTCGTGATGTTCGTAGCGCAACTTGGTAGACGGGATTATAAAGCAACGGCGTACCGCCAGTTTCATTCTACTTCTTCAGGGACTCCCGCGCGCGAATCTGCTGCGGGGTTTCCTCCAACTCAATTTTCGTAATATGTTGGCCAGGAACGACCACAAGACCGATAAATCGACTCGTCATATCCATCTTGACGCTCTGGGCGTCGACTGCGCTACCGGCGGCTGAATCATGCGTACCCGTGGCGGCGTCTCGAACAGTAGATGGGGAAGGGAAGCGGTATTCGTAGGTGCTGGCAAGGATGATATTTCGTGCCTAATGCAGCCAAAACAAGTCAGCAGGCGCTAGTTTATTTTCTTTCTCGTATTCTTGGTTTTCATATCCCTCCGAGCTATTCAAACAGCTAAAAGTTGAAACGGGAACTCATAACAAAAAGCACCTACCGCATCCGTACACTTGAAGGTACCCACGAAAATGCGCGTATCTGTCGCGTGCACTCGTAACGTCCGACCGATCAATGAGTCCAGATATTGGACTGCTTGATTTCCGTCCATTGTGCTCTGTCCTGTTCTTCCAATCGATTGACGTAAGGCAACCTGCCTAGCCACACCTTCACTTTCAAGCGGGGTGGGGTTTGACCACTAGAAGAAAGAAATCTAGCGGTCTAGACTATTCTGCGTTGTCCCAAGGCGAGGCGGGAAAATCAATCAAGGGGCGAGATTGGGGAGTCTCTTATAGCCAGCTGAACTCAAACGCCTAGTCAGACTGGACGGATTCCGGTTGGTTGTCGGGGAGAGAAAGATGGTCACCGGGTCGCGACAAAGAGATCCGCTGGAGACCTCAGGCATTCTTGTCGCATGTGACGTTCCGCAATCGGGCACGCTATAACAACGGCTCTTCATGTTGGATCTCGCTTCATCTTAAGGAAGAGGTCTATTCATGATTCGAAAGTTTAATGTAAATATAGCACGAACATAATTGTTCCAGATTGTTTACCATAATGATTACGTTAATCTCTTGTTTGCATCACTCAATATACTGTAGTATAACGATCCTCAACACATCTTGGAAACTATATACATCGTTTCGTCTGTAACTCTGCACCTTAGTCGCCAAGGTAGCTAGAATTGATTAGAGCTCAACTCGAGTATCCTGGCAGCCGTTTCGGTCAAGAGAAGCAGGTTCCGGGCTGCTTTAATTCATGTCTCCAACAAAGGAAGGCATGCAGGTGGATGGACCCTGCAACGTATATCAAGTGACGGTGTCGTGACGCTACCAATATGACCAGCACATTGATCCGCGCGGATATAATATTAAAATAAAGTTTATCAAGGTATCATCGCTGAAAGAACTAATGTCGTTGATATCGCACGCTGTGGGTGAAATGCACCCCAGACATGGCGGAGCACTCGTCATGCCCAACCAAACCCTCCGAATGGTCTCCGAGGCTCTTGGACTGACTCGTTTGTTACTGAGTCTATGTCCATATCGCTGCCTGTCAGCTGCGAAGGTGGGCTACTCGTACCCCATCCCGTCGAAGTAACTGGCGAGGACAGATTGAAGGTATGCGATTGAAAGGGTGTTGTTTGCAGTGGTATAGCATTGTTCGATGGTTGATCCAGCTTGTTTAAGCGGTTGTGAGCGGGTGTAGATTGGGAAGGGCGGAAGAATTTGAGCAATGTCTGCTGGCGAGGGTCGACGATCTCAGATGATGGTACAGGTTCTGGCTCCGTTGCCTCGTCCTCGTCCGTGGCAGGAGTAGGAGCTTGGTGTTGTTGTTGCTGTGCTGTAAAAAGCCATCGCATTGTGTTTTCTACTGGATGTGAGATAATTGCTCTCGGATAGTAAGGTGCAATCTTTCAGAACATACCATAGACTACTTCGTCATCCGGGCGATCGTTCCTGAAGCGCTTGCGGGTGCGACTGTGGAGATGCTTTGGGGAGTCATCTGCCACGAATGATGGTCCTGACATCACAGGAGCAGGATTGGGGGATGTGAGACTGGGAACCGAGGCCTTGCGCTTGAGGGACATGGTGTGAGGCAGAGAAGGTTCAGATCAGATCTCTAGTGTCGCGTGCGAATATTGAAGAGTTTATTTCTCGGTGGAACAATGCAGAGGACTATTATGAGAGGGCAATGTGAAGAATTGATCGTGCAGAAAAGTTTATTCACGAACAATGGGTAATTGTGCAGGCTGATATATAGAGTCGTTGGCTACAACAGGGCTGGGGAGCAGCCTTTTCCAGTGTGGTTGGGAGAAGGATACCGGCGCGTCGGGTCACGGGAGAAGCGTGAGCGAGACCGCGTACAAAATATGCGCTATTCCGATTCAGGGTAAATTGATCCGGGCCATACCAGTGATGGCAGGCGATAAAAGATAGCAGATAACAGAACCTTGGATCCCGCCATAGTCCGAGTAGCTAGCTACTAGCTACTCCGTAGTAATTTACTTACTCTTCTCTCATATGAAAGACTACATAGTATATGGTTCCAGACAGGCATTCCGCTTCGGATTTAGCTGTATCGGTATATACTCCAAACTCACAGGCACAAACAACCACGGCGCTGACAATCTAGTTCAACAAGGCCGGAAACTACTCCGGTTCTGCATGATCTCATGTTGGGTATTAGCTCTTTTCTGAAGAGTGTCTATGATCGGCATGCTGCCCTCGATGCTGCTTTGCGTCTGGAGAGCTTGGACCCGGCTGCATTCTTCGTTGCGGAACCCGCAATGACGAGAGTTCCGCCTTCCCCGCTTCTGCCTTATCAAGCTGCCACCGACTGTTGTTCATCGTCATCCTAACTCTTCACTTCGTCTTTGTCCCAGTCACACCTATATATACTGTATATACCATCGAAGCGTCTCTCTAATAACAGACCCGTCAGCTAATATCAAGTCAAGCGGCTCAACATGGATGCTCGTGAAGATAGTCATGCTGGTTCATGGTACTCCGACGATAAATCCACCTTGTCCTATCAACTGGATCACTGGTTGCAAGAGGTACCGGATGAAATCGAGGGCATCGGCAAACTACCTGTGCCTGGTGCACGAATGGTCATTGCGCCGTATGTATCAGAAAGCTAATTTGCATGTTATTTCTGACACTCTGATCTATTCTCAGACACGCAGGCTATGCATACTCTGGACGATGTGCCGCTTTCGCCTACAAGGCCCTGGACCTGTCACAGGCGTGAGTGATAGCCCTCTAGCCTCACTCTCGCTGTTTACTAAAGTGAATAAATGTATAGTAAACGAATCTTTGTTGTCGGACCATCGCATCACCATTACTTCACGACGCTTGCCCTTCCTGAGTTCACTTCATACCATACCCCGCTCTCTGACGACCCTCTACCGCTTGATACTGAGTTCATTGCCAAGCTACGTTCAACCAAAGCAGTATCACGAAATGGACTAGAATTGCAATTCACCACCATGTCTCGCTCCGTGGACGAAGCTGAGCACAGTATCGAACTGCACCTACCTTACATCCACCGTCTCCTACAACGCCAGCGTCCGAACCAGCCAACATCCCAATATCCGCCGCTGGTACCTATATTAGTGGGTGCTGTTACTGAGTCGACCGAGAAGGCTTTCGGAACCTTGCTTGCTCCGTATATTGATGATCCAGAGAATGCTTTTGTCATCAGCTCCGATTTCTGTCATTGGGGGCAGCGGTTCCGTTACACGTACTACAGCCCCCAGGCTCCTAACCCTGGGCCCAACATCCCCGTCTCCGCTCCAGGCCTCCCTCAACCCGGGATTGATGGCGATAGTGTAACCGATCAGATGGAGATGGTGTCTACCGGTCGCTCCTTGAAATCGCGGGAACGTATTAGGAGCCGAGAACCACCAATTCACGAGAGTATCTCGGCAGTTGACATTGCAACCATGGCAGCTATTGCCACCGGAGAGTACGCACATTTCTCGACAATACTCAAGAATACAGGGAACACTGTGTGTGGCCGTCACCCCATCGGCGTGATAATGGCTGGTATTGAAAATATTAGAAAGAATGAAGGGGAGAAGGGCAGATTTCGCTTCATCCGATACGACCGCAGTTCAAATGTGATAGAGGTGGACGATAGCTCTGTGAGCTACGTTTCTGCCTTTACCGTGCTCTAGGTTAGCACATGCTCACTGCAAATCAAGAAATCAGAGAAATTGTCATCTGTATCCAACCCTTGCTCGGGACTGTGAATAGCCGCGTGCCATTAAGGCTCTCTAGTATGGTGTAGGAATCATTTTACAACTACTGCCATTCGATCCGTCTTTCGGATATCTTAGCCTTCACCCTCCGCGAGAAAGCGGCCTGCTTATCCCCACAGCAGCATTTCCCGACCAAGGATGAAACCCTTGAGAGATTGAGATCACCGGTCCTGCTGCCAGGGAAGGGTAGCATAGAGGTAGTATTGCTAAGATGGCCATTCTTCACTCTTGTTGGGCCATTGGTTAATGCCCAATCAACGAGGTTGAAGCTCGAAGAGTCTACTATACCCGCCATGACTAGCAAGAAGACATGGTACTCGCGGAGAGGCTTCAGCAGGCGTCAATGAGGACAAACGAGCGATGGAAGATCATTGTCACATGGGCTCCCGATGGAAGCAAAGAAGGTTCGCTGTTACACGGCAATGGAGGGGGTTGGATTAAGGTAACTCGGCCACTCCGGGGCAATAGCCCCAAAGAGACTGGAGAAAAAGCCTCATGCCTGCCGTTTCTTGCTCACTGCATGATGCCGGTTTGCGGCGGGACTACATATGGTCCGATTGTCTGGTGATGGGATCGCGTGGCTGACCTGCCTGCCCGGTTACCCCGCAGCTTTGCGCGATGGTCTGCCGGGGATGGAGAAAAAAGCAAGTCGAAATCCCTCATGCATGATGCAGTGTTCAAAAGGTTGCATTGGGCTGAAGGCGATGTTTGACATTGGTACGTTGGGGCTGGTGTTGACGGCAGCCGTTAGCCAGTGACACTCTCCAACAACACCCTTAGTCGTGCGACTGCGGAGGTTTGGCACCACCCAATCGATGGAGATGAGCTTAAATTGAAGTCCTACATCTCGTAGATTTCCTAGCCAATCCGCAGTCAGAAGCGTTGGCTCAGCATTTTGGCTTTCTGACCCGTGCGGTCTCTCGGATACATCCGCAGCTTGAGCCAGATTCCTCAAGGTTTTTTTTCCAAACATTTGCGCCTTCAGGGCCCCAATGGTGTTCCTGTTTTGTGTTAGGATTGGACCCCTACGGTGATGCTCTTCACTCTCATTCGATTCCTGTTTGATCACTTCTGGCGATCTGTTGACTCTATTGTTCCCGTGGCGTGGCCAACGTCGGGATGTGCCTTCTGTGCCCGGGTGGATAGATCCATTCCCTGTCACCGTTTCCAAAGTCTAGGTCGTAAGACAGTCGGAGACAAATTGCAAGGACGGCGGAGATTGCCAAATGTTGTCACACACGCACACCGGGGCGCAGATGGTTGTTGATTCGGGCCCCATGATGCCACAGGTTGAGATGTGTCGGTATTTGCCGGCATACAGACGACTCAAGGCGACTATAAAAGGCGTTAATGGAAGCTGTTTCACTTCTATCAACTCAAAATCAGAGACCTGAAGTTTCAATCTAACAGGTAAGCCAATTATCTGAGTCTTTCCGGAGATAGTCTGCTGAAACAGAGCGTTGACTAGCACCTTTGTTGCGAGACGACAAAGAGCTGCATCTAAGAACTATATCATCTGCACTGCCCACGCTCGTTCTTTGGCTGTTTCCGTGGTCAGTCTTTCCTTGATTGCAGATCTAGAGGCGCTTGAGGCGTCTTGCTTTGTCATTCCTTATCTCTTTTGCATTCTGTTGGGCTTAGTCTCGATCACTGGTTGATTTTTTCGAAGATGAAGTTTTTCAAGTCACCCGTTCTGGCTCTGGCCGGTCTTTTTACCGCGGCGAGCTGTGCTCCCACGGGCCAGAACAATACTGTTCCGGTGAATGGCACCACTGAAGCGTCGACTGATCGACTGGTATTTTGCCATTTCATGGTAAGCATTCCATTGGATGTGATATGGCTGGGCTTCACTGACAGATTAGATCGGCATTACTAGCAACCGACAGAGCGCTGCGGACTATGATGATGACATGAAACGTGCGAAATCCCTGGGCATCGATGCCTTTGCGTTGAATATTGGGGTTGATCCCTACACTGACACGCAGCTCAACTTTGCGTACGAATCGGCCGCGCGCAATGACATGAAAGTCTTCATCTCCTTCGACTTCAACTGGTACAATACCGGACAGGCATCTACTGTTGGACAAAAGATCAGACAGTATGGAAGCCTGCCGGCTCAACTCAAGGTCGATGGCAAGGTCTTCGCATCTTCATTTGCGGGAGATGGTCTCGACATCAACCAGATGCAGTCCGCCGCCGGCACTGAAGTATTCTTCGCACCGAACTTCCATCCTGGCCAAGGAAATTTCGGCAACATACAGGGAGCATTGAATTGGATGGCCTGGGATAACAACGGCGATAACAAGGCACCAAGCGCTGGTCGCAACGTGACTGTTGCTGATGGCGACAAAGCATACGTCAATGCTCTGAACGGAAAGCCTTACATTGCCCGTATGTATCCCTCTGTGTTGTCGATGTGTTACATCAGTCTTGCTAATATAATACAGCTGCTTCTGGATGGTTCTTTACGCACTTCGGTGGTGAGGTGCCCTACAGCAAGAACTGGGCGTTCCCCTCGGATCTGTTGTGGTACAACCGCTGGTTCGAGATTCTGAACCTTGCACCTCGGTTTGTGGAGATTGTTACCTGGAATGACTACGGCGAGTCGCACTACATCGCACCGCTGGCCTCTCCACACACCGATGATGGCGCATCCAAATGGGTCATGGACATGTAAGTCTCCCGCCGTCTTCACAGCCAGCAAGACAATACTGACCAGTGATTCAGGCCCCACGACGGTTGGCTCCAGATGTCGAAACCCTTCATCGCTGCATACAAGAACGGCGAAAAGTCACCCGACAAGTACATCACCGAAGAAAAGTTGATCTACTGGTACCGGCCTACCCCAAGGAACATCAACTGCGACAGCACCGATACAACCATGGATGGCAGTCCCAACAATTCATCCGGTAACTTCTTCCGCGGACGCCCGAACGGATGGGAGTCCTTGCAGGATTCAGTCTTCGTTGTCTCCTTGCTCAAGTCCCCCGGCACAATCCAAGTGGCTTTGGGACAGAATAGCCAGAAGTTCGATGCACCAGCCGGCGCCAGTGCCTTCACTGTGCCCATGGGCGTGGGACAGCAGAAATTCGCTCTCGTCCGCGACGGCAAGACGGTGCTCAGCGACACCAGCCTGAAGGACATCGTCAACACATGCATCTGCGGGATCTACAACTTCAATGCGTATGTCGGCACGGTGCCGGCTCCGCCCACCATTGACAAGCTGGGCCCAGCTGGTCTGTCGGCCCTTCAGCAGGGCTTGCGCGTGGCATGTCCGACCAACACACTGGGCCTGGGGTCAGTTGCGTCGGCTACGCCTATCCCGACGCCATCTCCTGCATGAGCCATTACTTGGAAGGAACCCTAAGCTAAGACCATGTATCTTAACGTAAACGTATGGCCTGTACTTGATCTCCGTTGTCACTCACTCATTCATTCATTCAACGGAGAACGAGAGACTCGCTTTGACTGGAAGAATCCACTCTTTTATACAAACAATGCATTACACCCTCCACCAATCTCCATACTCCTATAAACCACCTCCCAAGTAAACCAGTAACCCACCCCATAAACCAACCAACACACCTCCCAAACCACCATCTCCTCAACCACTCCCCCCTAACAACCCCCGCCACCCCCGAAATCTCCGCCCCAGGACACAACAAATCAAACCCATGAAACGCCCCAGGCCAAACATGCACCTCACATTGCACCCCGTCCCTCAACAACCTCCTCGCAAACTCCACCCCCTCATCCCTCAACGTATCCGTACTCCCCACATCCAAATACACCCCCTTAGGCATCCCCTCACCCCCAAGCCACTCCGCCCTCCCAGGCGCCGAATACTCACTCACCACCCCCTTCTCATGACTCCCACTCCTCTCCTCCCCAAGTAACACCCTCCACGCCCTCTCATTATCATTCCGATCCCACACGCCCACACCCTCGAACTCCCTCGCTGACGCAGTCATTCCGATCATCCAGCATCGGACTGAATAGCATGAGGCCGTAGATCCGTGGTGGCCCTGGGTTGATGTCCCGGAGAAGAAGAGCTAGTCCTGCTGCGAGACATCCGTCTGCGGAGACCCCCCGTGACGGTTATTTTGTCCCGGTCGATGCCGAGGGTGGGGGCGTGCGTGTAGAGCCAGAGAAAGCCGGCGTAGGTGTCTTCTAGGGGAATTGGGTCCGGGTGGATGGGTGCGAGGCGGTATTCGATTGAGGCGAGGATTGTGGGTGGGGTTCGTGTGGAAGGGGAGGGGGGAAGGTTAGTAGGTTTGTGAATCGGTTGCCGGTTGTGAGGCCGCCGCCGTGGATGTGGTAGATTGTTGGGAGGGGGGTGGTGGTGTTGCTGGTGGTGGTGGTTGGGTGAGGATGATGGGTAGGTTGGGGATGGTGAGGGATATTTCGAGTCGAAGGGGAGAGGGGGGCAGTGGGGGGAAGGGGGATGGTTTGGGGTTGGTTGCTGTAGCGGAGGTTGTATAGGTGCTATGGTGGTGATATACTACTCATGCAGTAGTTGGGTATATGAATCTACTACTAGACAAATGATATGGTCGACGTGAGGAGATTTCTCATTCTAAGAACCACCTGGACTAAGCCATACTCAAATTTTATTGTCTGTATACTACTTGGCTATCTTTGCGACTTGGTCGTGCCTCTACTACTCCCTCGCTCCTACAACTCACGAGCTAACCCTCCTTGCAATTATCGTACAACCGTTCCTAATAACTGATGCTTGTAGTCAGTGGCATCTATTGCCTCTGATGCTACACTTCGTTGCTAGCTACATAATAGTTGCAGAGTATTGCCCGTTATGGCCGGTTGCTGCATCCCTAGCAGAGCATAACCACTGGTAGAAATATTTGCTGCTAACCGACTAGTATTGCTAGCTTAGAAGAAAATATAGAGTTATCACACAAAGCTGCTTACTAGCCAATTGTGCAGCTGAATAGAAGATGCATCGAAAGAGCCAGCATAAGTCATGTGCACTCATGCTAGGCCTTGCCCGTCTGGGATTACTAGTGCTGCACGTCATGTTGTGTCTCTACAGTGTCAAGCTATCCCTCTCCATAATGGAACTGGCGGCTCGCTCAACGGAGAAGAAGACGGTTACTGAAGCCTCCCGGAGAGACACATATGACTTCTGCTGTGGCTAAAGAGTTCTCGGCCAGTTTGGTGATGATGAAATCAATATTCCATCACGACCAAGTTCCTGTTCTTCGCCCTTGGCCTCGACCTCGCTTCTTCCTCGTCGGACTGCTTGGTGCCTGCGTCGAGGGGTGCTTTCATATGTTGTTTGACTATATAAAAAACCCATCCGATGTATATGAAATCATTACTGACAGATACAGCTCCCTACCTGTTTCCATCTATCAAAAGAGCAAGTGCCATAGAACCAGTATCCTGAACCTTCCGATGACTTGTTTTTATTGTCGCTTCCGTCTCAGTTAATATCTTGACGTCCGTGACCGGCTACTACGTCCTGTTAAATTATCTGACGGTTGTCTTCAATTTCATTGACACCCGGCTTCTGAGTATTGAGGCCGACTCTGGACACCCCAACTGAATTATCGACTCCGTCTGCAAGTCAGACAGTGCTCCCCTGGCGGTATTGCTTTGGCCGCCTCGATCATCATGTTCTCAAGAATTTTGTAGAGGCAACGGTGGCCTCCGCAGCGACAAACTATCACGGACCAGCTGGTGCGGAACATCGCGAGCGGAGTACCTTCTATTGACCCAGGGACGGTGGTCAACACTGGTGCCACGGATCTCGTAAGTCATGTGCCGGTGGAACTGTACCATTCGGTCATTGTCGCGTATAACAGAGTCGTAACACATCCACATTGTGTTGGGGTTGCAATGGCGTGCTGCAGTGTGTCAGGGGCGGTTCTTTTGAAGTGGGTGCATATGAAGGGAGAGAAATGATGGACGGGCTACGGCAGGATGTAGCATATCTCCAGATGAATATATTAAGAGATAGATCGACTAAAGCAAACTAGTATAGAAGGATAAATGTTAAATCATTCAAAGCGGGGAAACATATCCATGGTACAATAGTCAAGATCCAGACCGGGAGAGATACTTGTATACGGGGTGGACCTCGGGCCAGCGCAGCCCGACCAGTCCCTAAACGTCGGAAGGAAAGACGCGCCCTGCGTTGGACAGAGAGATAGTGGCTGCCTGATGACCTGGCTGGCTGTCATACTATTTGCAAGTAACTCCGCCTGAATTCCGGACGAGCCAATGCCATGTGTGCCAGCGAGAACAGTTCCTCGTCTCCGACTGTCTCCGGCACAGCTTATCGGAGAGACTCGAGGGACTTATCGTGGTTTATCTCCCGCCGGCGCATTTAAACCACCACCAACCCCTGACCAAATAGTTCGCTGCATCTCACCGACTTTCTCGGATCTACTTTGCTTATGACCTGTCCTGACCGGCACAATGATCTTCTCCGGTGAGGCTGTCTTTTGTTGATATCTGCCACCCCAACAGTGCCTCTGTTCCTCGCCATGGATCTGTTCGGTTAAGCCTGGCGCTTACTGTCGGTTTCCCCTCTCCATCGCCTACTGTTGTCCTTCACCCCGGATCTCGCGTGATCGATTTCCATTTCCTACCTCACGTTGATCTGTGTCTTCCAGATCATTGCGCATACTTGTGACCCATCTCGACTCTTACTTTGACACCATGGCTTGTTGACGGGTTGATCCCGCCTTGTGCTTATACTTGTGCTTCATTGATTGTTCTCCATCTCGTCTTTGTCCACGTGCCATATCACGACGCCCGACGCCATGGCGCGCACCAAGCAGGGAGTGTTTTCTTGGGAGGATGTGTTGGCGCATCGTTACCAGAGTACGTATATCCCATTCACCAGTCATTCTCCACATTCTGGTAACACACTAACCACCCATCGCTCACCAGACAACAAACCCTCTGGGCTCCCCAGGTCACGTCGATACAGCGTCGTTCAAGGTCAAAGGACGTCCTCTAAATCCGACACCAGAACGGAATGGGCCATCCAGTCGCAAAGCGCCTTACTGGCCAGGCTATCGCCCGAGCTGCGACTCATGATCTGGGAGATGGTCCTGGGTGGCATGCGCATCCACATCGTACAGCGTCAGAACCGGCGAATGGGACATATAATCTGTCCTCAGACCAGCGCATGCGATATTTGTCGCGGTGGACTTCCGGGCATGAAAGTGTCGGCGGGTCTGCTGGCGCTGTCGATGACATGTAAACAGATGTAAGTCAATCTCATGTGCCTACTACGTAGCTTATATACTAATTCCTACTCAGATACTGCGAGTCCATCTATATGCTCTACTCGCTCAACACCTTCGAATTCAGCAACACCTGGTCGCTGACATACTTGCGACCCACCATCCCGGCCGACTTCTGGGACGCCATCCGCGAAGTCGAGCTCCGCTGGGCGTTCCCAGGCCACTGGCTCCCCTGCAAGGACCCCGTCAAGTCGGTCTACTTCTCCGCTGGCCGGCAGCAGTGGGTCGAGACGTGTCTGGCTCTCACGCATATGCAGGGCTTGCAGACGTTCACGCTGCAGCTGAGTGGGAGCTGGTTCTGTGAGCCGGTGGAAAAGATCCCAGTGTTCTTGGAACCACTGCGGGAGCTGCATCTGCGGCAGCGATGGAAGTTGCAGCTGCCGAGGCAGCCGTACTATGTAAAGGAGATTCGGAATATTGATGGGGATTTGAGGAAACGAGGAATTGAGTGTGTGGTGAGGGTAGTTTAGCATTTCTTTAATAGCGTGATAGCGTGCAGGCGATATATTTATACCCTAATAGTTGAACTGTTTAATGGATGGAATTGAGTGATCTGGAATATATCAAGATGAACACCTGCTTAACACCAGTATACCACTATATATATCTCACTCTGCTAATTCACAATATATATATCACACCCGACATAGGACTACTACTACTAGGAGTTATGTACAGACAGAACCCTGACACTACCCCTAGTCACTACTAATTAGTATCTACACACCCAACTCGATCACTTATCCTAAGCTAACTATCATCAATCCTCCTTTCTACCTTCTACAACTTATTACCAACCCAAACAACCACTACTACTTCGGAGTACATCCATCCATCCAACCCCAAAACGTACCAACCACAACACAACAGTCTAACAACAAACTAACACCTCTACATTCCCACCCATCACCACAGAAACCCCAAGATACCCATCTAGTAATCACCTAATCCAGGGATAGATATACCCACCACAATAGCTAGGTAAATAGATTAAAGACACCATCCAGCCGAGGAATGTACATATGTATGCATGTGGCGTAGAACAGGTTATGTAGAGTAAAGTATACCTATGTCGATGGAGTGGGTGGATTTTGTAGTTTAATTTCGTTGGCATTCTTCGGCGTTTGTCATGTCTTGGATGGGTGCTTGTTTGGGATGTGGTTGAGTTGGGTGGGTGCTGGTTTGGTGGTGGAGGGATGGTAGTATAACTCTTATTTTGGGAATGGGTTTTTATTCTGTGGATTGAAGATGGGGTTGGTATCTTGGAGTGGGGAGAGTAGCTATAGTAGTAGTAGTGGTAGGCCAATTGGTCGGGAGTAGGGGTATTTGGTGATGATTAGGGTAGATCTATATAATATTCTATATAATAAATATGTCGTTGTATGGAATATTGAATGCCGGTCTCGACTGTTCTTTGCTGCTTATGCCTACTGGTTTATGTTTATGTCTAGAAGTCTACTATCAGTACTAGAAGGGTGCTTACAGAGCGTGGCGTTGTGATAGGTTATATTTAGGATCTCGAGAAGCTTCTTCTACGGTCAATGCTTGGGAGTGTATAGGGTAGGGTAGGATAGAATAGGATGTAAACACCAGCAAAGCTAGGTGCATGCATTCTCCCCTGACCTACTGGAAGAAAACAAGCTCATCATTTACCAGTACGTTCTAGGTGTACACGTCAATTCAGCTGTTGTGGTGGCTGGTGGCTGGGCAGAGAGGAATGTGTGGACATTCTTGACAAGGAGGCGAGTGAGTTGCGAGATGGAAGGTTGATGAGGTGCTCGATTGATCGGTTCCATGGATGAGATGCTAATCTTCATTTAATTCAAATTGGGTAGAGTCGGTTCTGGAAGGGATAGTTTATGTTGTAAGCTGGATGGGTGGAGGTTATACAAGTATAGATGGGAGGGAAGAGAGGAGTGACATCAATTGCTTGTACCTGGATTCTTTAGCGATAGACTCGCATTCTTGGGAATTGTGCCATTGACTTTTAGTCCGAGCAGTCAAGCGAAATGGAGGAAGGCCAAGGTAGACAAGCTAGCTAGAGGTGCGGTGTTGGTGCTGGTGCTGGTGCTGTCTTCCGCCAACTCAACTTCATCTCACGTCGACCAGACGACGCCAAAATTCCCGAGCAGTCTCCCCGGTTAATACTCCGCGGATACACCCTTCTTCTCTCACCTGTCTACTCACTGATAGCCAATGAACCCGGGTGCAAGCCTGGTGGAATGCCTCTTTCTCCCCAAGAATGGACAGCCGACATACCGAGCCAAACAACAAACAACCAAATCTACGAGTCAGTTCCACTGATGTACATCCAGCTTCCCAGCTTAAGCTAACAGCACCAAAGGGGGCAGTTTGTTGTTTAGTCCATCGCTATGGATCGACCGTCAATAATCATATCAGACCTATTAAATACATATCACTTCAACATGCGGCCATATATCTCAAATTCTTCTTCTCTTCCCCAGCCCCATCTGTTCACGTCGTGCTACATGCTTGCCCTTCTGTACGACCTTAGTGATCTACGACCATGCGACAGGCCATTTCCACCCGCACCTCTGGTGCAATTCGAAGGGATGTTCAAATAGCTCAAGCTTCCGCCGTTCCGTATTCTTCGTACGGAGGTTCGTCATCTACCTACGACGACGGTCAGTGGCACGGAGGGTATTCGTCGGGCAATTCGTACGGTCAGCAAGGTTCAAACGGTCAACAATCGGGGCAGTCAAGCGATATGTCCTCAGGCAACGCGGGCACAGGAAGCTCGGGCTCGAGCGGTGCCTCCTACAATGCAGGATCTCAGGGTGGTGCTGCCGCCCAAGCCAGTCCTGTTGCTTCCACAGAAAACTCAGCTTCATCATGGTCTGAAGGAAATGCCGCCAACAGTGCTCAGGCAAATAGCGAGTCGTGGACTAGTCGATATGTTCCAAACTCACCGTCTCCATCGGTTGTAAGCGCGACATGGGAGACTTCGACTATTCCTACACAGACAGCCAGCTGGACGAGCATGACATCGAGCACTTCCACAACCAGCAATAGCACACCAACCCGCTCGAGCACTACCGAAACAGAGACGCCCGCCAGTACAACGACAGCAGCCGCCGCTGCAGGAACCTCGCATGGCGCTACCCCCCTGTCTACCAAACTGGCTATCGGCCTCAGTGTCGCAGTGGCTGTAGTAGCCATCCTAGGCTTCTTCGTGTGGTCATTGCACCGGAAGAAGCGTGCTTTGCAAAAGGCGATAGCTGGTAACAGGACCCGCGACGAGAAACCAGACCCTAGCCCACCGCAGCCCTCTATGATGAAGAGGTGCGCCAACAGTATCTGCAATAATGCAGCAATCATCAAGTTCAAGTCCACCAGATCGCGTCTTCGTTCTAGTTCAGTGCGTCTTCCTGGAGCTCCCAAGTCTGAGTACAAACCGATCAAAGACTTGGCACTCAAGGTGTATGCCAATGGCCGCGGAATGCTGCGTACAGCAGCCAACATTGCACGGTCTACTTGGCAGAAGTCGCACGTACATGTTCCGCGCCCTGCTTCCGAGTACATGCACGATCCCAACAGTGTGGTACGGGATGGCTTCCGTCAAATCCATCGGTCATACTTGTCTCTGCCTCAGGCGCGCAGCACCACCAACAATAAGGATAACAAGGACATTCATCCAGCATTGCGAGGTCTACATTCCTCGACTGAGACATTAGTCGGTGCAGACATGGGCAGAATCAAGGAAGTCACCGTGTCCAACACTCCTCCAAGAGAAGAGACTGGCAGGATTCCAGAGGCGAATGTCGCAACAGTAGAAACCATTTCGCGAGGCACATCGACCAACTCCAGTTCCCCGGCTGTTTCTCGAAGCCCTACCATCGAAGTTCCTACTATCGAAATACCCACTTCTCCTGGAGCACCACCCATTTCATTGGCTCGTGTGTATCGCGTCGACATGGACTTCCGCCCTGTGAGCCCTGAGCACATTGGACTGAAGGAGGGTCAAACAGCTATCCTGCACCTAGTGTACGAAGACGGATGGGTAAGACACCAACCTTGTATTCCCTACCGTATAACTCTTACTAACATACTCAGGCACTGGTTACTGTTCTCGAGACAAACAAAGAAGGCCTCGTCCCTCGGGCATGTTTCTCCGCACAACCCATACGGAACCAAGCCCAATATCTCGGAAACAACATCAGCATCTCGACCGATCACGTCCCTCGCTCTCCGCGTCCTGCCACTCCCACCTCACCATGTGAGTCCACATCTGATGGCGATCTCGGACGGTTCTACTCGAACTGTGTGAGTCCGGAGTTGCCGCCAATGGACGATGAAAGGCCACAGACTCCAAAGCTGAAGTCTTTGCCGTCTATCGCGAGCTTCCTGAAATCACCTCCCAGCTTTAAGAGCATGGTTTAGGTGATTAGTAGAATTCTCTTCCTGTGAATATTCGGTGTGACCCGTGTTAAGCGACGGGAGCACTTTTATTGTATATACATGATATCATAATGTCTTGTGCGGATACCTATAAACATTTATTGAAGACTTCAAGAGATATTGAAATGGGCAGACGATGTCCAGGTAGCGATTTTGCCAAATGCATTGGCAGTGAGTTCGGCTCAGGGCTAGTTATCCTGCGACCTTCTTTTTGGGAGAGATAAATCTATCTTTAGACTGCTTTTCCTGTGAAAGCCTATCTTGCTCGCCAGCCTCATCAGGCTTCGTGCTCGAATGACCACTTATTAGCACAATGGCTCCTCGTTTGTATGATACTAAAAGTATTTGTTTGTTGCTTGCCATTGTTCAAGAGCAATCACACCATAGATGGCAAGCTCATTCATTCATATGATAGTGCCTAGTATTATCGCTTCTTGTTACATGCGCCGCAAGACCTTTGACAGAATAAGATAGTAACTATGCTCAGAGTATAGTCTTTTTTATGCTCCCTTTTCTATATTATATATATACTCTGCATATGTGTATATATCATAAGGCTGGAGTGAGTACTTGGGCAGTCGTTATTAGTGTTTTCCGGATAGCAGATATAAATATTGAATGTCCGTAACTACTACAACAATATATACTAGTTCCAGTCATGTCATCCTTACCATTACTCTTTATCATGGCATTGAGTGTATGGAGTAACAGGATATAGTAAAAGGATCCTTCATTCAGATTCAATGTCTACCATCTACTACCTAACATTAAATAAATCAAATAAAAGTACCTTATAGTAATATCCTTCTATCCATGAACCACATACAAATTATTAACCTATTACAATACTCGACATCTACTGAACCAACGAATATACTACCCATAAATATTCCACAACTATCACAGCACATACCTACATATGCAGCATAAGCATACATACATCGTGAACGGCAGAATAAAATACAAATACACAGCAATACCATGACCACACAATCGCACACTCACATGACACCACAACCGACGAACCACAAGCGCCTGTTCCAGTGCAGATCACCGCCGATTTCATTTCCATCTAAATTTAGCTCTTATGCTATCAGCCTTTCTTAGCTGGTGGATTTGCCGTGCGGGGTTCTCTTCTTCTTTTCTTCTTCTTCCATATCTTCTTTTTGTCAGGGATTTTATGTATTGACCATGATTGTTTAATAAATGGCTATATAATATGTATCA